ATCGGCATTCCCGATTTGCCCAAGCAGGTAGCCGTTGTTGCGCCGCAAGTTTAGGACGAACCTCTGAAAACTGTGAAGCTTTTCATCGTACTCCTCCGCAAAACTTTTCGCATATGCATGTTCCCCTTCGGAGGGAAAAGCCTTTCCTTTCATAAAGTTAGTTAGCCAGCACCTGCTCGCTTTAAACTGGCTCCGCATTAGACCTTTTTCTAAGACTAATTGCATAGCCCGCACTTGGAGCAGTTCTGTCGTCACGGGCCGCTGTGCCGCTCGCTGCTTAAGCACATACTCGCCGAGCAGCTCTTTAATTTGCGGAAACCGACCCTGCTGTGGTCCACTGAAGCCTTTGCGTGAAGCTTTGCTGTCGACAATCTTCTGCTTTTGTTTCCGCCGGTCCCGCACGCACGTTTCGGGAACTCCCGAAACGACCGCGATGCGGCCCGATTTCGTCTGTTCTGCACACACGCGATGACTTTTCTTTTAAAAGCGGCATCGTGGTGCACTCTAGTTTTTAGAGTCGGCCCTTCCACGCCGTCGATGCTAATGCACTACTAGATGACGAACTCCTCAGCACACGTACGAAGTGCCGCACATGGGAAACACATAGGCAGAAATGGCCGACGCGCCATGCCGACGCACGTAGGGGGCTGCCATTTTGAATTTGCCGATGGCAATAGATTGACCGTAATTTTTTTGTTCGTACTCGATTCTAACCGCGCATGCGATTTATGAACTCGCCTAACCGGAAAAAAGGTGCGCGTTAGATTCGAGTAATTACGGTACCACATATACTTTTCAGTAACTAGTCTATAGACAAACTAAAATTCTCTAATGATATCAGCCCCCTGACTGATTTGATGCCTGCGGCTGACCCCAGGGTCAAGTAACGTCGGTCACAGAAAAAGAAATCCTTCATGAGAAATTTGTCAGCCCAAGAAGGAGAAAAAAGAAGCGCACCGCACATACTACAGTGGCCTAGAACATTGTGCTTTTGCACAGCACAGTCATCTAAAGAGCTGCCAAAACTTTTCATCCTTGCTTCACTTCTGCAACGAAATTATTGGGCACAGTGAGAATGGATGCCTTTATATTCCAGCACTTTCGATTTCCCAGTTTCAGAGATTATCCAGAATTAGTTTTCTTCTAGATAAGATGACGGCTCTTGCACTCATAGGCTTTGTACTTTGTTTCAGTCCTTCTTCTAGAGCTAAGCAGGACAGGCAGATGAGGAAAAAAAAATGTTGCGTCCTTGCATCCCCACAATGAATATGACTTCTGTTTTTTTTTTTTTTTTAATGTGTACCGTGAAGAGCAGATTGCTTGAACACGTTTACGAATGTTTACTCCAAACAGCATTGCACGATGAGGTAAATAACAAATATTGCACTATTTAACACCACTATGATACTACTTAACGCCACTCTGAATGGCATTGCACGATGGAAGTAAATGACAAAATATTGAACTACTTAACACCACTATGAAAGGAAATTTGCATCGCCGAGCACATCACTTCACCAGAAGAGATGGCAACAGTGCTTACCCACCTCCTGAAATTCTGAGCTGAAGCTGAAGTTGCTGAAAAAAATTTCCAGATTCCCAGGCATGCCTTGTACTTGTCCCTGAACTCCAGGTGGACATCGTCGAGGAACTTATCTACGTATGACAGTTGCAGCACCTTTGGTAGGCAACCTGAGCGAGCGAAAGTGACAAATATTAGCAACACAGTTTTGAGGAATGATTTTATAGATTGGCTGGCATTGACAACACTAAGACCACAAGTGTTGGAGCACCAGCTAGGGGGCGACGAGATATTTCCGACGCCAACATTAATGCTATTGAAACATCCCATGCAGGTTCTTGTATTATTCATATACACCGGTGTTCCTGCTACGTCGTAATCACTATGAAGCAGTTTAGCAGCAACTTGTTTATCATCAAAGCCACCATTGTGGACTGCCTCTACATCAAGAGCTGTGCCCATGGTGCCACATGCAGCTATCTAGTGCAATCAAGGGACGCTTTCAAAAGAAGTTTTTCAATCAACAAGCAGATTCCCGTATGTATAGTCCCTACGACGCTGTCACACTCAGTTCACACTACTGGTGCAGTAAGGTTACTAACTGAATGCTTTTCATATTCCGGTATGCAGATAGTGTGGTAGGGATAGCTATGGTATGCACATGCCTTCAGTTCTGGTTGGCCCTCGTGTCGAGGCAGTGCCATACATTTTTCAGAAACATGATCTGAAAATTGAAAAAAAATTCATCCCAGCCTGGACAAATGATGAATGCTTTGTTAGTGCCTCAGTACTCAATAAAACTTCAGTCCATTCAGCCCTATTTTGCAATCTTCAAGCCTCATCATTAACCTAAGAGAAGATAGCAGATGTGTAACAAACACAATAATCTCCTGTGTTCAATGTCTTAATCAACCTGTGTGATTAGTGTTGCTTGAAAAACATGTCCGACCTTAATTTGTAACTCAATCCCATGATTGATAAAGTGCATGCATGTAACGTACTTTTGTGGGACCAAATCACATGCTTGTTTTTTGCCTCCACAACATCTACCCTACTACTTACTGACGCTCCTCTAGGTATGCTTATCAAGTTACATACACATAATTCCTCTTAGATCCACATCCCAGTGGCAGCTACTCTTCGTGACACTAGTGTGCTGTAGGGCGTTGTAGGCAAAATGAAACGTTAATGATCTCCCTTTTATTTTTATTTTAGTCTGCCAGACTACAACTTAACACGAAGTCAAGGGCATACGATCGTAAACAATGCAATACTACGATGTTATCAGTAATGGAAGCGAAATTTTGCTTTTTGGAGCAGATTCTGGAGCAGAAAAATAATGCCTTGAAACAGCCTTAAGTGTCTTCAGAACAGAAAAAGATGCTATAGCTTAGGGTTGCTATTGGTGTTTTCGGAGCAGATGCATGTGCGTAACGACTCCTAAAGTCTAAAACATCACTTAAGCATCTAATAAATAGTTACATTTACTATTAAACATTCCATATGGTAGTATGTAACTAGTATACAAGCAGTATAGTAGTATCATTGCCCAAAATTTGGGGGAGGGGGTTCAGGAGTCCGGTCTTTTTTGTGTTCAGGCAGAGGAGGACAGCCCTTGCAAGTGTCCCCCTTGAGACTCAGCTTTAGCACGTGATATAAATGAGTTAACAATTAAGTATAGCACAATCAACTTTTAAAAGGCATTTTATCTTTTACTCTGTACCTGTGTTAAATGCCGCTTGGCTGCGTGAACTATGGAGTTCGCAAGAAAATGAAAAAAAGAGGCTGAATAGAACAATGCAATGGCTGGAGCTCTGACCCCATGCTTGTTTTTCTGTAATTTTATTTGAAACCATGATTTAATTCTTATATAATAAAAATACACCAATTTAAAAATACGAATTGGCCATTATGGCTTGATATGTGTCACCCCTTGCGACTTTTTTCTGTATTTACGCCACTGAGTTGCATACTAGGATGACACTGTATACAGCTTGCTTTTGGTTTCGCTTAGGCTCACGAAATGGTCCCATGCATCAACTTTATTCTTTTTAGTTTGCCAACATCATTTTGGAGCAGTTACTAACAAATATTGCACTTTGGAGCAGCATTTCTGTTTTGGAGCAGCACTTCTATCACTGTCGTATGCGAGCTCTAAAAACGAATATCTTTGCACACACACGTGACAATAATGTTTTAATCGGCGAGTACAGCAAGCAGGAATCCTTGCACGCATAAATACTGCCACATTTGAGCCAGAGTGAGAAACTGAGAAAAACGAGAGCATCTTTACACTGCATTCACAATCCTCGCCACTGTGTCCCCTCATGAACCACGGTTCACGACCCAGGGCATGACAATCGTAGCATCATCATCAAACACGCTGCGATTCAGTAATCGTGCCATACAATTTCGAGCACACGCAACGTCGAAATATAGAGTTGGGTGATGCAGATACTCACCACGAAGACGAGCTCAAACTCGTTGTCCAATTTGTACTTGAGAACGAGGTTCTCGTGAGTGAAGGAGTTGTCGCCACCCCTCTCCTGCAGTGAGATTATGTCGGGGTCACAGGTTAAAGGGAGCAAGAAAAGCCGCGAGGAATTCCTCGTATGCAAATCAACAACTTATACGGAAAGAACCAACACGTATTACGCAGTTGCGAGGCGCCTGCCGCTCGCATCGGACACTCGCCAGAAAATCGCAAATGCTGCCACGTACACAAACGCTACGATACGCATTTTCTCAGAGTACATCAGTCATTAGTACTTCATAAGCTAGATTTCTTGCGCGACATATGGAACTTGCCTGTAATATAACGGTGCGTATCAAGGCATTCACTGACGGAGTGAAGAACTGCGTCGTGCCTTGGAAACACCACAACACAATCCCGCTTTTGCTGAATATTGTAAAAAGGTCGAGCATTTTCACAACACCAAAATATCAGCGACTAAATAAAACTATGCACTCAAGGTAGACAGTCCGAGCACGGCGAATGGACTCGGCAGCAGTCGGCTGGTAAACGTAGTAAACGTGTTTGCAGGAAGTGACGTTTAGGGTAAAGGCTAGGCAAACTTCCGGGCCGGCACGATTGGCTCTTCAATGCAAAAAATAATTTTGACCTCAAAAGTCAAGGTCGCAAGCGCTAACGCGAAGCGTTTTTGGCCGTCGAGAAGCTAATTTGGAATATAATTGAAGTTTTTTTTCAATTTTTGCCTTGCGGTAAATGTTAATGTTACAAAATAAATATGTTTTTTTATTTTTACTTCGCGAATTGGAGCTTAGTAATTTGAGTGCGCAAAAAATATAGTCCCACGTTCAAAGTTGTTATTCCTAATAAACAACTTATAGTTAACGTGTTTTTACTTGTGTGAAAGGCTGAACAAAGACTAGAAGTTCTAAGGAGCCTGAAAATTGTCATTAGGTGCTAAGAATATTAACGCGTAGTTACACGCGCTGTGCAATTTGCGAGGAAGACGCCAAGAGGTCGCCATATTGTCACATGTCTAGGTTTTGGGCTCACATGACCTGTTGTTTGGCCCCGTGATCACCTCGCTTCCTGGCAAATTCAAAACATTCATTCCTAACCACATGGATATGCTGGATCAAGCGTTGGACAGCAAGTAAGCGAATTTCTGTTGTAAAAAGCGCTCGTTGTAGATGCGTAGGGAGCTCTGTCGGAGGCGACAACGGCGTAATACCAATCTGGAAAGAGCACCGCGAAAGCGGAACATTGCCGGGTTCGTGGCATCGGTCGGGCTTTCGGGAGGCCTTGTGTATCGCTTCCGGGGCGTAGAAACTAGCTCGGGTATCACGTTTCATTTGTCGGAATCAAACGAAATGTGCACGTCACACGAATTAAACCGACTCGAGGGTTAGGTAGGCAACTGGCGATTCGCTCTTCCTGCCAGCAGGTTTCACGCGTCTCGCTTTTTTTCTCTACGCTCATCGTGGCGATGTCTTCTGTGAATGAAATTTATGAGTGGAATCACCACGAGTTATCGCCGGTGCGTCGTTTGGTGAACTGTCCAAAGTCCTTCACTTACGCAACGCCCTCAACTTTTTTTTTTTTTTTTTCGCCAACAGCTAGGGCTGCACGATTACCGGCGAGCGACCTCGGGACGTTTCAACGCCCCAGATGTACCGGCGTAGCCCGTTCAGTTTTCGTAGCCGCAAGTGTTGCGATGCGTAGAGTACTTTTATTAATTGTTTAGTGCCGTTTTCCGAATGCGTGAAAAACCTCGTACGATGGCGCACGTAGGTCTTTAACGCCATCTGCATATCAGCCAGCGGAGACAGTGTGCCGTCGGCGATATTCCAAGGCGGACGAGCTCTCGATCCCCCCAACGTGGGAAAAGCGGATGCCGCGAATTTAGTTTCGCCCGTGTTGATGTTTGCGTCGTTTGCACTGCGAACGCCGCGACTCTTGGCGATCGGTGGACGGAAATAAAATGGAAGGAGAAAAAAGATACCTCGCGTTGAAAGATAGACATTGCCCACCCCCACCCTCTCTTCTCTGAGAACACGCACCTGTGAGCGGTCGCAAATTTAACACTTCCCGACGCGTAACGACTCTCGGAACGCTCGAACCCTGCTGCTCTCCTGGCTCGGCAATCGGTGCATTTGCGGGCGAAAGTGCCGCTCCATTCATTCATTGTTTGGTTGGTTGGAACCAAGAGGAATGGCTTCATTCGTTCCTCGTGCCACGATTTCATAGCGCACGCTTTAGTTCACGTTTTTAAAAGCGACGGTCTGCTACAATAAACCCGTTTCCTTACCCGCTCTTCTTTTGTTACAGTTCCCAAGACAAGAACGACTCGGCATCGGATGATGCATCGCATATCCCCTCCGATGGTAAGCACCAAACTCTTCACCTTGATGACATATGTTGTTTTTTCGTGAACTCTGCGATTTTTTTTTTTTTCAAGAAATCTGTGTCGACTACGTGTAGGGACTGCGATTGTCCCTTCATAGCGCACCCCTTCTGAAACTCTTTGCTGCTTTATATGGTGACTGCAAATCTTAAGCTGATGGATCGTAGTTTACTTTGAATTTGCTCTTATATGAAATTATATGTTATGCTTGTCTGCTTATGTTTCACATGGTGCCGTCAGCCAAGGCCCGCACATGTTTCTCATCTCACTGATAGTTTGAAATAAGTTTGTATTTCCCTAATGCCACAAAAGGATGGGTGTATTTTTAGATGTGTCAATAAAGGTTGTCCCACTAGACTCGCATGACTGTATTTTGTTTTGCTGTATACTGTCTTGAAGATTTCTTCATGGCATGTAGATAAAGAAAAAAGGCTTCTCAATTGTGGGAAAAAAGTAATACAGGTGTCCACAATAAATTCCCAATTAGTCAAACTTTCAATCATCCCTAGATGAGTTCAAGTTATTCACTGAGCTTTTATATACGGCATCACCTTTATTCAATAATTACTTCAGACTGCTTTCTTTGCACAATTAATCAGGCAAACACTTATTTTTGCGAGGGCCTCTACAATTTGCGGCTCTATAGGCCACCCTTATATAGCTTGAAGCCCGAGAAGGATTTTGTACTTGCAAAAGCTCCGTTACTCAAGTTTAGCGAAGAAATAGAGTAAAAGTATTTTATAGCCTTAAATGGTCAGTGGAAAGATTGGCTCTTGCTTACCCGGTTTTAAGGAAAACTGCAAAGTTGCATTTGTTTGTAAGAGAAACTGGATGCTGGTGAACATGGCAGTACCATACATATTTTTACCACTCGCAGGCAGACTCGAAAAGCAGTCATTCTGGAAAGGCCTGCTTGTTGTCTAACATACAGCAGTGTCCTCCCAAAACAACTGCTTTCTGCAGCTGCAAGTAGGTGGGGACAGGACCTTAAAAAGTACCTTACGCAAAACACGAGCAAGAAGAAAGTGGTAGTGAGTTCAGTCCTTTTTTTTATATATATATATTTATAGCAAAATAGGCATGTCCAAGTATTATGGACAAGAGGAAATTTTACTGCATTTTACATTGATGATTGCCCAGTGTTTTCTCAGTGTAGTGACAACCATTGATCGATCAAGAATGCAAGAACTGATACTGCTGTTCGTTTTAAAGTCAATTTTATATTAAAAAGGATCGCTTGTTGAGGCTGCTATAGGTGGCGTTTACCCTTCGAAATGCACAGTACGTTTGAAGAAACTGCATATCCTAGTGCCATTTAACGACTGGAAAGGCTCATGTATGAGTGACATATAAATACTGAAAGAAACCTATGAAAGGGCTTGCAAATTAAAAGGAGAAAGTTGCTCATTTCAAAATAGGTATCTGTCAACCAAGAAAAAGTGCTTAATAAGGTCACCCAATACGCACATCTTGAGTGTCTTTGAATTGCTTATTGCTTCGCTTCTAATTCATGTTAAAAACTGTAAGAGCCTGTACCCTTGTAAGCAACGTGTCGTCACTCAAGCACTTGAAAGTGCTGATGCTTACTATGTTTGAGTGCTTTAAGTGCATAGCTGGCATGTTGGCTGTGTACAACGATATTGGAGGTAAAAAGAACTAGAAAGCTTTCAGGAATGAATCTTAAACCACACAATTGAGTTTCCGTGTTGGTGTGCAAAACCTCAAAGTTTAATGTTCAGGTCGTACTGTTTATGCTTTATTGTTTGATGACAAGTGCAAGCCGCCATCTGGAAACCTGTCTGAGCAGCTGCAATGGCTGTGACGGAATGATCACAAAGCAGCTGTGGCACACTTTGAAAAACACTTCTTGCATCATTGAAGGCTTTTGATGTGCACGGGCATAAATATAAGAAGTCGTGGCAGCTCTATTTATTTCCCTCAAGTTGCATTGCGATGTAGTGGCAGCAGTCGGGACTGGAATGCATGCTTTACTACTTCAAAGGTAATATCTAGCTAAAATGAACAACTTTGTAGAAGTGGGAGCAATCTTGTGCAACCTTTTCATTCTTTATGCCCGTTATCACTGGCTGGCATGCAGCCAAACCTTGTTGCATTACCTCCAGTGTCAGTCGCTTGTGCTGACGAATGATAAGTTAAAAAAAAAGATGTAGAGAACAAAATTCTAGCACATTAATGCCAGAGTTCAGCATTTTTTACGATGAACTGCCTTACCTAGGTGGTTTCTTCACTTAAGCATGTTAGCCTTTGGTGAGATTAACTTGAAGGAAAAAAAGACCTTTATAGGGGTACTGGCACAAAATTTTGGGGCCGAAATAGCCTGTGGGGTCGATTATCGAGAACATTTGTATATCATCTGCTAGATATCAAAGCGAATATAGCTTGGAAGGCATTTAAAATTAATTTTGAAGTTTGCATAAGTGATCGACTCCATAGCGCTATAGACAACCCCGGAGGTGACCCTCTGCTTCCCTCACGTCACCACGCTAAGGTCAACAAAACAAGTTATAATGACGCCATTCTTCTTTTGCCACGTCAGTTCCCAAAGTCTATATTTCTCGGCGGCTGGTTGCGAGTGCATGGCCATGGCACATGCTTAGAAAGTTTTGTGTTTGGCGACATTCCGGTCCCGTTTCCTATTCCAAAGTAATTCTTGATGCGGGCCGTGCGGAAGTGCGTCACAGTTCTGTGTGCTGATGTGGTCAAGAGCTGCACACACTAGGTGGTGACAGTTGCACCCAGTTTTTGGAACTCTTTGAAACAGATACTGATTGATAATGATGGGACCGTAAATAATTGTCTGGCACGTGCTGCACGAAACGATGTGTTGTGTCATGACTAACAGGCCCCCAGTAATGCATTGCAGCAGAAAAATGTGAGGCCAAAGTTTTTGTGTCAGTACCCCATTAAACACCATTTTGTGCAAAAAAAAAAACTGTGCAACTCGGCTTATGCTTCACAAATTCTAAACATTTTGCCGCATTCGGTCTGTGCAGCAATGAACTTCTTTAATGAGGCCTTCCGGTGATTATTTGAAAAAAAATGTTGGCATGCCTTTTTTAGGTACTTCCATTTGCCATGCTTTGACATTGAACTTGTATTCTATTAGCAGCAGCGGGTTGGGAGAGCTTTATGCGTATTGGAGGTTGTGTCTCAGCAAATGCAACCCGTCACAAATCACACGTCCTCGTAGGCAGGCTCATTTTGTGGTGCTTGCTATTGTGTAGCATGCTTGCAATTGCCGGCCCTGCTTTTCACGCCTTGTAGCAATCTATGCAGTGGCGGAAGGCGTAGAAGTGGACAGCCAGGCTGCGGCCATAGCCAGCGTTGCGCCGCAGGCCCTCCTGGATCCTGGCATCCAGTACCAGTTCCGCACCGAGAATGGCCAGGGAGGGGTCACCTACCGCGTGGTCCAGGTGGCAGCCGCGCCGGAAGGCACTGAGGCTGCCAGCGGCCAAGTGGTCACCACGGCGGCACTTGTTGGCCAGCAAGTGGCACAAGCCATTATTTCCAGCCCCTTTGCAGCCACCACGGCCAATGGAGGCTCCAGCCCAACTGCTGAAGGGGGTTAGTAAATGGCACCAGGCGCTCATATTATGGTGGCACCTATAGGGACACTACCAACAGATTTGTGTCTATGCGTCCTTGCATGCAACGGCGTGCTCGCGAATTTTGTTGGTAAGCTAAATGCTCATTGCAATATGTGACTGATAGAACCACGGACCATATTTTGGTCAGATAATACGCTGCTTAGTATAAAATAATAATAATAATACCTTTTATTTCTTCAAATAAAACAGTACATGTGACTAGGCCTTCCAAAGCCAATAGGTGGCTTGAGTGGCAGAGCCTGGCAGACAGCAGAACAAACCGGACGCGTTACAAGATTGTTTTTCATGGCCTAAGAGGGATGATAGTACAAAAAGCAACGTGCATATAAAATTCGAAACAACAGGGCATACAAGCAATAGTTACAAGCATTATACAATAGTTACAGCAATTGAAAGTGAAAAGGTATAAAGGAAAAAAGAACAGAATTATAGCAAATGCTTCTTAAGCAAAGTACCACACTGGATGATTGTGCAGCATCATGCTTGCGAATGAGTGTGAATGAAATAACACACATGCATTACAATTGTAGACAGATACGCCGTAGCAGTTTCTTTAATTTGTATTTTGTTTTTGTGCGAAAAATGCTAGAGGGTATCACATTTAAATAGGTTGGGACATAATGGGCTCGTATTCTAGTTCCATACTTTGTTGAACACGGCGGCCTCCAGTAGCGTACTTTGGGCCTTAAAGAACGAGACGTAACATACGGAACCAGGAATTCTTTGGACCAGAAAAGTTTTAAAACAACCGTTTGAATTAACAGATCATTGAAGTTTGGCATAAACAGCGTTTTGAAAATGTCTCTCTCAGAATTCATGTTCAGGTCGTGAGATATATTTTTTAAAATCGAACGCTATATTCTGTTTATTCTATTGTGCCATCGGACAGCACAGTGTCCGTAAATGGTTATTTCGTAACGCAGTATACTGTAACCTAAAGCGTGTGCTATCATCTTACGTACTGAAAACGGCATATTGTATCTTATAGTATATAATAGACATCACACAGTACGAAGTCTTTTGCAAACATAGGCGAGATGACTATTCCAGGAAAGGTCGCTGTCAATGTATAAGCCAAGGTATTTCACAACAGATGAATACTGTAATGGCCTACAAGAGCAGGATGAACAGTCAGAACAATGCAAAATGAAAGGATAGTCAAGGGTTACATTCTTCAATAGATTATGGAGGCAGATTAGATTAGATTTAGACACATTTATATTAATAAGGTTATCTCAAAACCAATCCATGGCTTTAGTGGCAGCTGACTGAAGAAGAGTAATCGCCTCATAAAAGTTGTTTGTAGTCGTCACGATAGCAGTGTCGTCGGCGTATTGATATAGAGTAACCGGTATCGCGCTGTGAAGGTCATTTACAAAAATATTGAATAGCAGCGGACTAAGAATTGATCTCTGTGGAATGCCGGTTTTGATGATTTGGAACGCGCTGTGAGATTGTTCAACGGATACAAGTTGACGCCTGCCTTGGAGGAAATTTGCCAACAAAGACCAGAAAGCACCCCTAAACCCTAACTGAAAAAGTTTGTCCAATAACAAGGTATGATGGACACTATCCAAAGCCTTGCTGCAGTCAAGAAGGAGCGCACAGGCAACTTTGTTGTTATCGAACGCCTCGTTCAACTGATCAGAGAAGTCTTCCAATAGCGTCTGAGTGCTTTTTCTCTGTTGAAAACCATACTGGCAAGGCGATAAAATGTTGTGACTATCGAGAAAGCTTGTCATCGTTAACAACAAATGCTTTTCTAGTATTTGTGCTATAGAAGGCAGAATTGATATCGGACGATAATTTTCAATTTTATCACGCGCACCGCTTTTGTGTAGAGGTATAACTATTGATGTTTTCAAGTTTATGGAAATTTCATCACTAGAAATACAGCGATTTAGTAGTGCTAGCAGAACTTCATGGGTGTATTCAAATGTGCGGCGCAAGTCAGTTATAGAAACACCATCAATACCAGCAGATTTTTGCACTTTAAACTGAAAATGATAGGTCGTAAGTCCTCTTGTGAGATTGAAGGTAGATGAGCCTATTCGCTAACACTGTGACGTAAAGTGCACGGGCCTACCTGGGAATTTGTGTTTTCAATTGTTCGAGAGAAAAAGTTGTTAAATTCATCAGCAATCTCCTGTGCGATATTGGCTTGACTCGAAAAAACGTTATTCAAGATATTGACGCGAGTGTTTGCGCCTCTAAAGGTGTTAATTAACGCCAAGGTTTTTTTGCTGCTGTTACTGGCATCCTTAAATTTGGCTCGAAAATGATTTCGTTTAGCCGAGCGAATCATAGCATTAACCTTGTTTCTGCTTTGCTTAAATTTGACTCGCAAGTCTGAACAGTTAGGATAACGTTTACATTGTGTCCAAAGCAAGTCCTTTTCTTTTATTGCAGCGAGTAAATGTGTTGACATCCATTTATTATCCAATTTACGTTGTTTATAGTGTATTGTTCGCGTCACACTTTCTTTTAAGCTTATGAACGCTTCTACAACTTTATCGTAGAGATCACTAGGAGAGCTGATATAGTTACTTGGTATTCATGTTAAAAATAGCATGTAAACACTGGGAAGAAAAGGACTCGGGGGTGCCACAAATGGTGTTGGGATGTCGCAACTTCTATCTTGATTCAATCTTTGCACGTCCCGTCTTTTTAACATGAAAACAGTGCTATCAATATAAGTTCATCACCTTTCAAGTATATTCTGGCTTCTTGAGCCACTGTTCCTGAAATTGCGGAACTGAATGAACTTGATTTTACTCCCACAAGGTTTGCTTGCAACATGCACTGACAATTTCCACTAGGAAGGTCTGTTTGTGAGTGGAAATTTTATGAAGTTTGTAAAATAAAGCTGGGTAGAAATTCCTGCACTAGCTTCTGGCATTGCCTTAGATTCTCAGTCTTTTCTCTGAGCCAGTGCATCGGTAATGACTGACTGGCCAGGTATTTGGAAATAATAAAGAACACAGTGCACCTTTTGGACAGTGGGTGCATTAAATATGTTTTGGATACCACGGGTGAAGAGTTTGCAGCTATTAAAAAAATATTTTGTGTTTTATAATGAAATGACAATGTAGATTAGTTCGTTTGAATGCATGATTATTTAATGCCATATGTGCGTGGAAGGAGTTGTGTGGTTTCATCTTGTAGCCAAGAAGCCTACAGAAATGAATTAACAGCCTCTCAGAGACTGCATGTAGTACTAATCGTGCTGCGACTCTTTCTTCTAGGTCAATTCTATGTGATGATGTCACCCCAGGATGTTCTGCAGACTGCACCAAGGACATTAGCACCGCGATCCCACAGCTTCGGCTCTAAATCTGAAGGAAGCAGGACAGCCAGGGATGAAAGGAGGAGGGCCACACACAACGAAGGTATGTGATCCCTTGTCATTGTCTGGGTTCTCTATCTCTTTTTTCTTCGAAGATTCATCACAGTCCCAGTCACTTCAAATTAGCAAGGTTTTATGGCAATTCTATTTTGAAGCACTGGTGCCATTAATGTTGGCCTTGCAAAAATAGCCAGTCTAAAAAATGAGCTTAAACTAGGAAGCCAAAGACACATTCACCTAGTATGGGCAAAGCTCATTAACTACATTTGGCAAAAATAAAACAGCTCTAGCTGTCCTAGATCCACTTTTACAGAACCAAGCAAACAACAAAAGTAAAAATCTGTGCTTTGAGAAAAATGTGCTAAAACTTCATTTCGCCGTTTCAAGTGAAAAAAGTTATGGCACACATACTTTGTCAGTTAATATGCACCGGGTTTGTAATTGGACTGATTGTTTGCATGAGCGTGCCGTTTCTTCAAGTTCTCCTAAAAGTTGTCACCGTGTGCTCAACAAGGCCGCTTATCTGTTCGGTGACGGTACTGACGCCGATGTGCGACGAATGTGCACGCGTCATTCGCAATCCGCCAAATGACACGGCGATGTTTTCCGGCTTGGAATGAGTCGCACGTTAATGTCGCGAACTAAATTTGTGCAAGCCCTCATAATTTTGAGCCTAATGAGTGCCGATCGTGTTAGTTTTCTTTTCACGCAAGACTGCCGCATTTTCGAGTGGAGACCGCGACATCGTTGCGAACGCGTTGTTAAAAGCAGTCTACCTGTTGCCAGTAGCCTCCGTTGCGTGGGCGGCGAGCACGTTCACTGCAAACAGATTCATTCTGTTGTTCGTCGACGCGCGGCGTACTTCATTCTGACGACCCGTCACGCAGTTCACGCACAAGCAAGGTCATTTCATCAGGCGCAAGGGACTGCGGCATCGGCGCGTTTAGCGATAAAACTGCGCTTCCGTTTCGTCACTGCAAAGATTGATATCTCTCTTAGCTTCACTTCTGCTTTTTACTGGCCGTCCTCTAACTGATGAGGCAGCAAAACACGGCCGCTTTCAGTGATGATGTCTGCAACCGGCGGGCTCGTATGTGAGCTAGGCCTACACCGGCGACTCGGGGACCGCCGTCGATCACAGCGAGTTCGTTATCCTGAACCATTGTGGGGCTCTTTCTGAAGTTCATGGCGAACAAACGATCGCCACACCCGCTTCAAGAATTAGGGTGGCACGGAACTTCCTTACTGCAGCAGGCAGTTGACAGCACCATGACAAAATGGCGCATATCCGTGCGCTTCACAAAGGTGAAGCAGACGCCGGAAATGCCACTTGGCCAATCGGATGTCTAGGTTTTGTCACATGCCCCAGGCAGCCTGTAGAATCACGCGCTGGTGCTTGTAAATGACACGTTTTTACTGAAAAACCAATGAGCTAGGCGGACCAACGGTGGCAAGAAATTGAAGATGAAAAACGACCCTTCCAAACGAGACCAAGATGACCACGATAGCTCGTGTGTACCGGAAATGGTCCGGCGCCGAAAAAGCGCGATTTAGCGTCGACTTGTGCTCACATTCCTCTCACAGGGGTGTTATAAATTGATTTTGTGCCAGAAATAAGGACGCGAGAAGCTAGGAACTTCTCAGTTAAGTGCATAAACAGATACAGATTCCAAAAATGTCAAGCTTCAAGAAGTCTATTTTTTCGCTATTTTCGGCCTTCTAAGGCCCGTGTCCCCCTTTAACTGAGATACACTAGAACATTATCATAACAAGGTTCTATGTTACTTAAAATTAAGTTTGTTTTACCCGAATTTCGTTTTAAAGGTATATTCCTAACCCTGTACCCTTTGAAACACATTTTCATAATCTTTGTCATATTGTCATAACTGATATTTTGTTTTATGCATGTTTGTTATACCAAGGTTTGAGTGTACTGTTGTATTGAATTATTGACGATATCGAGCTCTATTATTATATACCAAATCTGGTTGGCACTAAAGCTGTTCTCCATCTGGGAAAAGAAAGTGGCCGAAATAAACACAAGTCTGTACAGTATCCAAGCGGGGTTGTTTACAAAGTACAATGCAGGGGTTACAGTGCTGCTAACATTGACGAAACAAGCAGGAAAAGATTAATGAGGCTCAAAGAAACCAAGAGGACGTTGCTAAAACCACCAGTGCACGAGTTGCAAGGTGTAGCTCATTGATTGCTGCTGGACAACAGGGCATGCCTTAGATGAAAGCCAGAAAGTATTGCAACGTCTGTCCTCTGTCGTTATTCTCTTATCGCTGTGGTTTTGGCGATATTTTGCTGAGAATTACAGTTGTGTTTGCTCAGTCAAGTGGTTCACTCAAAATTTGGGAATCTCCTGTGTAAATCGGAGAGTTTGGAGGTGTGTGTGCACCCCCAATAATTTTGCATGTTGGTGTTGTGAGGCCTAGCTCCTTTGCCGAGATCGTTTGCTTTCTCTTCTTGGTCCTTGACTGTATTGCATTGGACACCTGATCGTGGGGGCATTGCTTGCATCAGCATGGCAGGCATGTGTAATTACAGTGCAACAGCATGCGTTGATGCGTAAAAAAAGGAGACAAACCAAGCAAAGAGACACCCATGCGATCTGTAATCAAAATTCAGACATTTGCGTGTGCAGTCTTGGAGGCTAAGACATGCCGCTGTTGGTCTATTTTAATGAATTGGTTGGGCGGAATGCATACCTGCTCAGTATCGACGTGTCTTATGCGACAGTGCAGGCGGCATATTCTAATTTCTCTACGGTAGCCTACGTTTGTGTGAAACCTTATTAGATCAAGATTTGTTTGTAAGAGCTGTATTCTATTACAGTGCAGGCCAATGGGTCTTAGCCGGGACAGCAGAAAAGTCATATCATTCTGAAATTTGTATTAGCTTTGATAGTATCACCAAGATATTGCTGTACTACTTTATGGGCATTGTTTTAGTTTCGTCATCTACTACATAGGGTGTTGATGAACCAAATGTAGGTTGCCAGCTATCTCAGCATGTTGTTTTTTTTCTTGTTGAAAAAAAAAAGTCATCAAAGGAGCCTGATTTATAGATTCACTTGGTATGATTTGTGTGGAATGCAAGATGTGACAGTGCAGGTGTCCTAATGTGAACCCTGCTGTTCTTTGCAGTGGAGAGGAGGAGGAGGGATAAGATCAATAACTGGATCATCAAGCTTTCCAAAATCATTCCAGACTGCTCTAGTGACCTGAATAAATCTGGACAGGTAAGCCGATGCTTTTAACAAGAGTAACGGTTGAAACAGAGGTGTCTGGCCATGATCAGATGATGATGTGGTGATATGGCAACCTCGATTATAAAAAATTGCTCATTGTTTCAGTCGTTCGTTTCAGTCGTCTGGCGGTGGTCACTTCCGGCTCTGAAGACCTCATCCACTCCATATACAGGCGCTTGATGTGTTGCTTAAATGGCTTCAAGCGGGTGCAACTGGGATGTCATTCCTCCCGGGATAACGAGCTCAGTGCGGGAGTTGCGAAGCAATCGCTTCACGGAGCCTGCCAAATGACACCGAAATGCGTTGAGCACAAGCATCGATGGGAGCCCTAGCAGTGCTCCGGGCCGTTGACACCACACGGACTTTATCCAGTCAAGTACAAGCGATTCGTCCATCCACTCCTTGTTCTGGCAGCGGACAGCAGCATTTCTTGGGAACTTTTTCCCCTTCCCCTTTGGCAGCATCTTTCATTTCCACCTGATGTAGGCGGGCAGCCGTGCAGGCCAGCATTACAGTCACACGCGTTTTCTCATTCTCAGTTGATTGCATGGTACCTTGCTTGAAGCCTTTTTCATGAACTGTCAGAGCCAAGGGCATATCGAGGTACACAGGCGTCTGATCAGCGTGTCCGATCTGGCTCAGCTGAAAGGAGACCGCTGTTCGCAAGGAAATCACGTGCTTCTGAATGCTTTCAAGCAGCTCTTCATAGTTTTTAGGCAGCTTCTCTTATATTGATGTACGTCTACGTAGGGAGAATAGCGCGGCGCATGAAGTGAAAACCGCCTGCTCAATGCCTTGATTTCGGGTAATTTCCCTTGCTTTTGCTTGCAGCAGCACGATGTTGAAAGAGAGCTGTGCAGCCCATTGCTTTCAAACGAAGTTCGCCAGTTCTTGTTCAACGTCGGAAAAGGCTCCATGATTCAGCCCCCGAAAACTTTGTTGCTAGCAGCTGCATACAAAGAGGGCTTCTTTCTGCTTCCTCCAGCCACGAATGCACCGCTCGTTCCTGCCAAACTGTCGCCCCTCAGTAACTGATGGATTCAGCAGCTAAGATAGCCTTTCTTTTAAAGGCAGCCATTACTGCCTTCGTGGAGCTTGCAAGACGTAAAGTCACAGGCATAAAATTGTGGTCGTTGTTACGTCCGTCAAGTGGTTGCAATGGCCACTGTTGCATGCCTGTTGGAGTAACATCACTAACGCTTCAATGCTGCGTACTGCAAAAACGTGCAGGCACCTGATGATGATGATAGCACCACATATTGCGGAAACCAAAACTATGAATTCAGGCCAAAAATTCTTGGGTTCTGCATGTAGTTCAGGGCAGAAATTTTGCATAGTAAAATCTAGAAAAAAAGCTCCAGACTATACACAGGTTTTTACGGTTTGCAGTTAAACCGTAATATGACGAAATTGATGAATTCTTGAAAAAATTCGTTATGAAGACAACTCGTTACATGCAGGTTTAGTAAAAAAAATTGTAAAATAAACGTACAAATGAAACAACGGGGAACTGAAGGCAGAGATAACCCAAAACGCTTATTTCGAGGTAAAAACACTGCGTGATTATTGCGATAGCAATTATGTGGACCCTATCAGCAGGTTTTTGCCGTAGCCCCCATGTTCCGTAACAAGTCAAAATTGAGAACATGCCCCCGGGTGTTGTAACTTTTATGAGCGAGTAAACGCGTGCAAGCGCTGCTGAAGCTGAGATCAAATCAGCCGGCCCATCTCTATCGCTATAGAAGGCGTAAAAGAACATTCCCCCGCATGTTAGAACTTCCGTTAAATGCTCAAACAAAAAAAGAAAACACCCGTCTTGAACGAGCATGAAAAAATCGTGGGGGCAGGGGGAGTCGCTCCAGTCGCAAAAGGGAACTTTGATTTCAAGGGTATGGGCACAATCGCTGGCACGCGTGCCATCTCGACGAACCTCAGTGCGCTTTCTATGCATAGAGACTGTGTAAAAAGAGCACTTCTCCTTGGAGCGCCCGTATTTACTTACACCAATATTTTGTAAGAGTTCCAGGATATCGTATCCAAAATAGTTGGCTAGCAGCCTTACTTCATATAGCATTACAATTTGTTGCTCTTGCATTCATTGCAGTGCATTCAACGCGCTGTCTTGTTGCCAGAGCCACTTGCGTAGGCTACCATCCCTCGAAATTGCATCATTAACAGAATCGTGGGACAAGTCGACCTCCGAGGATCCGTTGTTGTCATAGTGGTCTCGAACCTTTTCCATCAGCGCCTAGTCTGACATCCCCGCAGTAGTGTTGACACGGTTGTCTGCACATAAAAAAAAATGTCCTCCTCAGGGGTCACATCGTGCACGTCTACACGGCATTAAAAAAGAAGAGCGAACAACACAAATACCATGAAAAAATATTTGGTAAAGCGCCCTCTATATCCAACACCGCCCCACATATGTGGCGCTAACTAAAACCGGGCGTGGCACTACCAAGGCAAATTTTTTTTTTTGAGGAGGGGGGGTGAGGGGGTCATCTGAGCATGCACCCGCGGCGGCAAGAACAGCGGCAGTGCTGGTTCATGAGGTGCAGGCTCGCCTCGCGCATGCCCGTGCACAATAACGAGTGCTTGCTCTCACCTGGGAGCCGCCGGGGCCACGGGCGCGCCGCCACCGCGACTGTGGATGTGCGGAAATGCAAAATTCGTTCGGGGCAAATTGCTAGACTGTCCGTGAGAAAAATTTGTTATCTCATGGTTGTTTCTCTCTGTTACTGTTACTTTGTTACATAGAGATCGCGAGTAACAGCGGGAAACAAAAGCTTCATTATATTGAGGAATTCGTTACGTGGAGGTTCGTTATGAGCATGTTTAGCTGTGTTACCCTAGAAAAAAACGTCCGTGACATAAAATGCATGCACACATTGGCCGACGGACTTGAAACTCCTGAAAATTCGGGCTTTTTGAACTTTTCGGACCTCAGTAATGCACATTTAAGAGTGGTGCACAGCGGAAAAATCTATAGCGAACGGCTGACCATTCACCCTGCCCATTTTTTTCATTGTTACCTTAAGGGGGGACGTGGCAAGTAAAACTAATTTTTTTATTAATGTACTGTTTGTGATGAAATTTGGTGTGAGTATGTGGATGATTGTGAGGATTCCAAATATGAAAACCGTTTTCAAATACCTCTTGCACTTTTTGAGTTACAAGCATAATTACACTAATTAACGCTCTTCACAATTAACAAGATAATTATTGCTAAATGAAATTATTTTTTCATATTATTATGTTCCCAAAGCATCAACTTGTGCAAAGAAGCTGTTAGTTGATTTTTCTAGTTCTTGTAACCATAAATAAAATTTCCAAAACATGGATGTTGTTTTGCGCACACATCGCAGTAATTATAAAATGTGTTCTAAAAATTTTAAATGGTGAGTGAGAAGAGAGATAAAGCTTTATTGCACTGCTAAAAGCCTCCTGAGCCTAGTGCAAAAAACGGAACGATTCTATCAGTCTTTGTTAGAAAATGACAGATGTTCTAGCGAAGACACATAGGCGAAAATCAAGAGTTGAGAAAACTGACTTTGAAATTTCACTCTTGTTTGGAAGTTCACAACATGCCTAAAACACTCAGAATCATCCTGGGCAGTAATCCTGAGATGCTGTGGCCTTGGCCTCTGTAGAGCGCAACCCAGTTTCGCGCTTCTTTGTCGTGGAACAATGCGCCTTTTGAGCCCTCTTTACCCTTTTGGCATCCTTTTCGGCTGCTCGCCGCAAAGAGCAGTCTCCTGGATTGAAGCCCAGTCGAGCAGTGATCTCTTGCAGCGCACTCTTGAAACAGCAGACTGCATCTGCAACTGCACTTTCCACACTCCGAAGGGAGGCGAACTGGCTCTTAGACTGGAGTGACCAAATGACGCTGTTCATACTCTCCACAACATTCTGGGTTTTTCCCTGTGCACACCTTTCAAGGAGCTCTTTGTTCGAGAGGCGCTTGTAGATTGGCAGCAGTGCCACTCGCACGTGAGAGGGCAGTTTATGTTTGTGAGGCGGCAGCGGCTCTCCCTTGGCCAATGCCTGATTGTGCGGGCACTAGGAGTCGGTCCCACTTGGGCACAGGTCGTGGTGTGAATCCTGGTCTAGGGTCTAGGAATCCTGGTCTAGGATTTTTTTTTTTTTGGATAAACTTTTATTTGGTCTAGGGATGTTACATGGTAATAAGTGGCCATGATGGCCCTCTCCATCCCAGGAACATCGTTGGGGTGGCTCTTAATGGCCCAGCCATAATAATTCGTTAACTTCTTTATCAGGCCCTGCGTCAGCCGGCCTTTGCCACCCATGCTCAGTCCTCGGCCTTTGGATTTGTGCTCATCAAGAAGGTTGCGCAAGGAAGTGCCCATTCTTTTTTTCACATGGTTCACACACTCCTGTTTCTTGATCACCATGTAGCCATACACCTTGTCTTGCGTGAGGGCAGCCCCGCCGCGGTGGTCTAGTGGCTAAGGTACTCGGCTGCTGACCCGCAGGTCGCGGGTTCGATTCCCGGCTGCGGCGGCTGCATTTCCGATGGAGGTGGAAATGTTGTAGGCCCGTGTACTCAGATTTGGGTGCACGTTAAAGAACCCCAGGTGGTCAAAATTTCCGGAGCCCTCCACTACGGCGTCTCTCATAATCAAATAGTGGTTTTGGGACGTTAAACCCCACAAATCAATCATTGCGTGAGGGCAAGGTACGTACGGCTGTCACCGTCGCAGAGCACATTGATGTATCGAAGCTTGTACTTGGTAAACGATCTTTCAAACATGATTCTAGCTGCTTCTACTTCCATTTGGCCTGCATTAGCATCGGTGTTCTTTTGGCACTGTGGTTTGTGTTTCTCGAGCCACTCCTCATAGTTGTCGTCACCAGGCTTGGGGCCAACAGCACAGCCTTGGCAGTAGTTGGACAGGACACAGTGGTCCAAGACCAAGCCTTGTGTACAGTTCGATTACACAGCCCACGCCAATATGACTTCTGTGCCCCCT